TGCGGCAAGTTTTCCAGCGACGAAGTGTCGCGGGAGAATGTCGGAGATGGCGGTGGTGGCAGCGGTGGAGGCAAACGAAAAACGACGTCGTTGAGGTCTTGCATGAGGAAGCCGGGGAGTGGTCCTCGGTTGGCTAATCTGAGAGTGAGGTTTTCAATTCCGGATCAGGATACTGTTGAACCTGTAACCAAACAGAGGACGGTCATTGAGTCCCTTTCAAAACTTGCGGCCTCCTTAATGGTCGATGTATGCAGATAATAATCCATAGGCTGCGCTGCACGTTGGTGAGGGATACGATTTTTAATTTAAATCTTATACTTGCTTTTTTAAAATTTTATTTCTCTCTCAAATTTAATTAAAACATTATTTTAATTTTGCTATGCCACTTGTTCAAATTTTAATAGACTCTCATATTTGGTTAAGATCTAAAGTAATTTTTCTTAACGTTTAATGATTACAAATAAAATATGTAAAAGATTAAAGAAATTAAAATAGAATMTTTGAATGGTTTAAGTATCACGCTAAAACACTAAACAAAATAAGTACGAAAGTTTTAGACATCAAAATATGGTTTAAACTTATGAAATATGATATATTAGACTGCATTTTTTTTCATCCCTATTGGTAACAATCATCCTTAATTCATGTTTTGATAATACATTAAAAAGTTAAAAAAAATTTTATTTTCATAAATTCATCGAAGTAACAATTTAGTCATAATTTTAATATGTGTAATAGTTTAGTTCTTTTAATTTATAATTCTTTCGGCTACATTTAGGCTACATTTAGGTCTCCGGGAGAATAACTCTCCCAAGTTTAAGTATCTATTTGTACTAAAAAAACTTTGAGTATCTATTCTTAGTTCTCAACAATTTACATTTAGTCACTGTCAAAGACCGATTTATGTTGGAACCAAAGTGCACATGCCCCTAAAATTATATAAATATTAAATATATATATATATATATATATATATATATTGTACTAGTAGTATTAGTCGCTAGGTTGGTTGGTGGCTTAGGGTGCTTTCGTGTATGCTTTGGACTTGGAGGTGTGTTTTGGAGTAATTTTGGTATGACCAAAATCACTTCACTATCCATTAATTATATTTGTCACATTAAAAAATTAATTTTAGAAAATTTTAAAATGACTTTAAATTGATTTTTAAGGTATTATTTGGATAGTGATTTTGAAATATTAATTTTACTCAAATTTACTTTTAAAAAATTACTCATTTTACCATCGCTTTCAGACACCTATACCTTACACTCCCCAAATGGTTTTTTAATTATATTTATATATTTTTGTTCATTTTTCAATTCAAAATTTTTCAATTATATATTTTTTAATTTATATTAAATAATTTAACTTTTATATCTATTAAATTGATATGGTAGACTATATTTTTTTAATAATTTCAAATTCATCATTAGATAACCTACGAAATAATGACAAAAATATATAGTGTCGTCTTAATATTTATTTTATCTTCTTCTTCAAACTATTTATTTCAAAAGAATTTAAATTTTATTACAAAGTACCTTACTAAATATTACGAGTTCTATTATCTAATTTTATTTAGGTAGATAATTCAATCCTATCTTTTAGTTTAAACCAGAATTTACTTTGTAGTATTCAAGAAACTAATATAATATATAAAGTTTAATTAGTTTAGTTTTCAATATTACTTAATCTAATTAATATTTATAATAAATGCATCTTTTTTTTTGTGAGTACATAATAAATGCATCTAAGATTATATTTGGAACATAATTCATTTTTACCTCTAAAATGGTCGAGTTGTACTAGTTTTGACACTTTTAATTTCATCGAATCCTACACTTATAAGTGTCTCAAAATCTACCATATCTATTCAATTTTCTCTAACTCGCCCATAATTTAAACAAAAAATGATGGAAAAAAAAATCACTAATTTAATGAAAATCAAAATGTTCTCAAATTAAGTTTGATTATAATGCACAAAATCCACTATTAAATCACCAATTTTGACATATATGAGAATATTTTTCTCAACATATTTTCAAATGAGATTATAGAATTTGCAGCACTTTTTAAAGTTTAAGATGCAACAGTTATCGAAGTGTAAGAATTTAATGAAAATTATAGTTTAAGGTAAAAATTGATACAAATTTGTCAAGTATTTAGAATTAAAATTGATATTTTCTCATTATCTTAATATGAATTTTGCCCCCTATAATGACTCGGCAATTTGAGATTCACCCAACAAAGTCCCGACTTGCCGCATTTTTTTTTGATAACCCAGGAGTTGGCGGCCCTTTGACCTTTATGCCTCTATACCTGGGGGGGTATGCGCACTGTCCCTATACCTGTTATTTACGCAAGGAGATATTCTTTGAGGCCCAAGCCACCCAAACTATCCCTTTGGGACTTATTTTATTTTATTTTATATTAGCTTTGGACTGCCCTTCAGTCTTGGAATGCTTACTGTCTTTTGCGGAGAATGCTTGAAATAAGAATTGTATTTTCCTTTGTCTTTTGTATAAAAAACATCTTCCACTTGTGCAGTTTGCTTGTTTTTGTCAAGKATTTGTTTTACCAAGGCTTCCTGATTTGAGAGCAAGTTTTCCAACTAATTGATAGAAAGTTGATTTACCCAACCTTCTCGTCGTGTTCTTTTGAGTGAACAACCTTTCAAGTGTATCACACAATTGTTTTTTATATACTCCTTGCCAATAGAAGTTCTCAAAGGCAAAATAAAGTTTTACCACACTTGATCTTTCACTTCCTTCGTACCTCAATATTCTCCTAAGTATCTTATAGAATTTCAACATATCACCAGAGATAAGATCTCACAAATTTTGCCCTTGTAGAAAAACTTCCATACATAGCCTTCAATAGTTATAATTGTCACTCGTAAAGCTTGTCCACACAAATATTGCTTCCACCATTCATCTTCAGYGGATAGTAAACTCAAACACTTAGTACTAGACTCAAACAACGAGCACTAACTCAAACACAAACATGAGATAGAGAAACTTGATGTGATACAATGTAACGAAAAACAAAGATGAACAATAGAAAGGAAACAAGATAAAACATTTACGAAGGAAGAATTTGATTCATTAAAAGGAGAATTAGTTACATATATTTATAGCGAACTAAGAAAAYTGACCACTAAGTCATTACCCTTGAATTTCTCTTCAATCAACCCACTAKGGCCACTAAACCTTAAATTTCTCTTCAAATATGCCACTAAACTATTGTGCCCCAAAGAACTCTCCTCAACTTTACATCCACTCACACATAAAAACTATCCAGTACTAACATGATAATTAAACATAAATTTGCACTAATATTTAGCCGGAAAAAGATGACAATACCATTTTTACAGTACACATTTACATTTAAAATTATAAAATTATTGGTCTACCCTTAATTAGTTAAACATATTAGTAAAACTTATTAATTAAAAATTCGGATCTTAGCTCCTATATTAGTAACGGTATACTATTTAAACAAAAAGGAAGAAGAAATTAGCCTAATTTTGGAAATAAACCTGTATTTATAATATTTGTTGCTTTCTGTTATTAAAACTCCGCAGTAGCACATTGGCAATTTCTATGGGTGAAATCCAGGTTCAAATCCTGGCTGCGGAAAAATGTTTTTATTCCAAGAATTAAGTTTGGGCCTTGAACCCGGAGAAAAGCCCAAGTTTTTGAAAAGATATGTATAGTTTTCTAACTTAAGTTTATGAAAATATGAAACTAACTGAACAAAAATGTGTTGTTATAATTTGTTTTAATTTGTCCCTAAAAAAGATTAATTTGTAATTTGAAAACAAATTAATTAATTAATTTCTATTATTTTTTTTTTAATTTCTATTGATAAAATTTAGTAGTTAAAAAAAGGACAACCAGAGAAAAAACTATATTAAATAGTGTAGCTTGAAAAATGGGCAATATTATAAAAACAGCTACCATAAAGTTATAGTTAAAGACTAGAATTTAATGTTGATAAATATACCTCAATAGTTAAAATTATCCTACTGTTACCTCTGAAATTTTGTGACAAAGATATTCTTGAAATAGCTCTTTATTATAGCTTGATCTTGGGAAATAAAACAGTGAATCAAAATTTTAAAGTTCAAAATTGAATACTTTGAAATAAAATAAAATTAAGATGCCACTAAACCACTGTACCAAAAAACTCTCCTGAACTTTACATCCTCTCACCACTACTTCCAATTAATATGGAATTAACTATTAACTATAGACTACTGCATTAACTTCTAAAAACTATCAAGCAATAACATGATCATTAAACATAAATATACACTAATTTTTAATAGGAAAAAAAGACGACGATACCATTTTTACATYACATATTTACCTTCGAAATTATAAAATTATTGGTCTATCCTTAATTAGTTAAGATATTAGTAACTCTATATTATAGACTCATGACATATACTCAATGAGTTGGAAGAAATTTTAATGAAAAGTTAGGTCACCGGAAAGGAAGAAATTTCAAAATTTCTAAGATTTTAGTGAGAGAAATTAGATACTTTCCATGGCCAAATTATTTCTAAATTTTATGGCATTTTTTTTTTATAGTTCAATAAGGAAGCTAAGGTTTGGAGATTTGAATCTTTGATATCTTCAGTGAAATAAGTAATATAATGTTTCTTTACTAGTTCGGTTATGATTTGTTACAATACCTCCGAAAATGGTGATTCCTTCAATTAAGGTCATCTTCAATCAAGACATTGATTTCTTTCTCCCTCCTATCCGTTACTGTCAATATTCTGTATTTATGTTTTGTTTCCATTCTTGTATAACCAATTTGGTAGCAAACCATGTATACATGGAAATAAGATCATTGTAATTACTCCAATGGTGGACTATATATCACCCACCTKCACCTTAATGCAAAAGTGTGCAAAAGAACATTTTCTCTACAAATCTTATTACTTTTAGAATTTTCAGTTGGTATCAGAGCAAGCAAAGGCCAAYGCCGACATGGCAAACGAAGGATTCTCTGGCTCAACCACTAACAACTCTCAACAAGCCACTGTCTTTTCAGCCATCAACATATCATTCGGCCACCCTCTAAGCACTGCTCTCACAGTAAAGCTTGACGACAAGAACTACACACTATGGAAAGGAATGGTCCTTGCGGTCTTGCCAGGTCAAAAAGTCGACGGCTATGTTCTCAGGACAAAAACATGTCCTTCCAAATACACTACGACAACAAGTGACACTGGAATGTTAGAACCAACACTCAATCCGGCATACGAAGAATGGTCCGCTGTAGACCAAGCCTTTTGTGGATGGCTGTTCGGGTCCATGACACCATCCATCGCTGCTGATGTTGTCAATCTCCAAACCTCAAATGAAGTATGGACTGCTCTAGAAATGCTCTTCGGGTCAACCAGCAAGGCACGCATCAATCAATTAAGAAACAGTCTGCAAAACACCAAAAAGGGAGCCATGAAAATGACARAATATCTCGCTTTCATGAAACAGACCTCCGAAGATCTGAAACTCGCTGGTGAACCCGTTACGCTAAGCTATTTGTCATCATGCATATTGACGGGCYTTGAGGCAGAATATTTACCGATTCTTTGCACAATCGAAGATAAAGGTATACTATCTTGGCAAGATTTATATTCTACTCTTATAACGTTTGAAAATACTCTTGTGCGACTCAACTTGGTAAATACAAGTGGAGATCTAGGAAATGCCACTGCCAATTATGTTTACAGCCGACAGAGCCAACCCTACAACWATAGACAACAGCAATATTCTTCAAATCGATTCCATGGACTGTCACGGGAAAGCAACAACAGTGCACGGGGGACTAGTAGAAACAGAGGGCAAGGTCGAGGTAGAAACAATGGCTATAGAGGTAACAACTCACGACCCTCTTGTCAATTGTGTGGAAAGGTTGGACATGTTGTTGCTGTATGCTACAATAGATTCAATGAAGAATTCAATAACTCACTTATAAGTTTCATATAAGGTAAAGTTTAGTTAAAATATATTATTGAAAGGTGTGAAAATAAGAGAATAAATTAAAATATTTTAAATATATGGTGGAAAGATTTAATTACTAAACCATATATTAATTAGTCATTACTATAAATACATAAAGCTTCCCCTTTACCTCGTTACTACGTATTGATGGGCAGAAGCAAATTTTATTCATTACATAAGAGATTACATTAGTTTTATCCTTAGTTTCAACTTCTCAATCACCCAAGGCAAGCCAGAAGAACTTATCAGGGCAAGAACTACTGAMATTATCAGGGCAGTCGATCATTGTTGCACCATCTTTACTATAACACAAAACGACCTTCTGCAGCTGTGTTCGGGCCCGCTGGTCGGCCGCGCAGATGACGCCGCCCTTTTTYGAGGTCACGTCGGCGATGGCTTTGATAAAGCCATTCTTGTGTGCAGCTGAGCGGAGCTCGGGACCAGGCCACCGTGCACCAGAAATGACAGGACAGCATGGCGGCCATATGTATCCAAACCCATGCAGAAGTACTTGAACTCGTCGAACACCACGGCCGAGCAAGTCCTGTGTGTAGACACCATATTTGGTCCGGTTTATTTTTAATTTTTATTAAAAAAATAAGATAAGTTTACTTTATTATAAGTTTTAATGTAAAGTTTTAATTAAATTAAATTTAACAAAAAAATAAATTTTGTTTTAAAAAAGAATTTGATTTGATTTGATTTTTTTTAGTTTTATTTTATAAATTAGGTTTTTAATTTAAATGATTGTTTTTAATAACAGTTTTTTTTTTCCTCTATGATTTTTTCCAATCAAAGCCACGTATGTGGCCTCTTCTCCCTTTCATTCCCTTCTTTTTCTCTAACTCTCTTTTACACTCTCTATATTACGGTTGCCATCTCCATSTATTTAAGAAAGTCTGGGGGAAACACAAGAGGACACGCAGGGATATAGAGGGACCAACAGGGATATAGAGAGTAAGCATAGAGGAGTGCAGAAAAGAGCAGAACAAAAGAGTTTTTTTTTTTCTCAGTCATTTCTCCCTTTCTTTTTCACTAATTCTCTCTCTAGAAATCACCATTTTCTCCTACGTTGGTAACCAAGGTGAGTAAATTGTGTTTGTGTTTTTATAATCACTGCTTTCATTGTGATTTCAATTGCTTTTGGAACCTTTTTTCCCCATTACTTAAGGTTGTTTTTCATTGTTGATTTTTGAAGGTTTATGATCCGTGTTTTGTTATAAATGGCAGTTTTTGGAGCTAATTTAGAGGTTGTATTTTGTTAAAAATTCCATATTTTGAGTATAGATTTTTTTTTCAGTTTTTATTTAAAATTGGTAGATTTTTCTTTTGTTCTTTTTTAAATTGGTAGATTTTGAATTTAATTTACCGTTTTATGTTTTTTTTTATTATTTTATAATTAAAATAAAAAGACTGTGTTTAATAGCTCTTAAAGTTTTAAAGAGAATAAGCCTTTAAAAATCAAAGTTTTAAATAAATAGAATTTATTTTAAAATTAATGATTTTTTTAGGTAAATAAAGAAAGCTTGAAAAGACAAGTTTTCTTTTTTAAATAATTTTTTAAAGAAGTGTAAAAGTAAAAAAAAAAATTTTCTCTTCCTTCTCCAAGTATGATTTTTTCTTTTTCTCCTGACATCAAGTTTCTTTTYAATTATCTTCTGCAGAGATTTAAAGGGAGGAAATAAAAAATAGGATTTCAAGATGATCTTTTAGTTTTTATAAATAGTCATCTTTTGAAAAAGAATCTTAACAAAATATCAGTTTTAACAAATAAATTTTGTTTAAAGTAAATTTGACTTTATTTTGAAATAATTTTTTTTTAAAGAATCTCTTTAATTTCGAAATAAATAAAAAGTTGTTTTTAAACAAAATTCGTAAGTTTTTTTTTTAGTTTTAAAAAATAAGTTAAAAGCTTTGATTTTGTAAAAGTGTACAATATTTGCATCTTATGGTGTTGGTATAGTGGTAAGATGCTTGAGTTATAATATATATGACCCCAAGTTCGAGTCTTTGCATGCCTTAAATTAAAATTATTTTATTATTTTCTTATTTTTTTAATCATTGTCTCTATCAAATAATTATTTTAAATAAAGATTTCGTTTAGAGTTTTTTTTTTAAACAAAATTCAAAAAATACAAACTTTGTATTTTAAAAGGGGTCATAGCTTAAATTCTAACGTGTTAGCACATTGGTGAGATGTTTAAATGCCAACACTTAAGTCACGAGCTCAAGTCTCAATGTGCCTTAAAATAAAATTTTTTTGTTATTATTTTTTTTTACTAAATAATTATTTTGAAAACTCCAATGACGGGAATTGGAACCCTCCAATTTACTCRAGGTGCTTAATTTTTCTAATGGCCTTCGTGTCACTCATACATATTAATTCATATCTTATAACAAGGTGTGAATTAATATAACATGAGACATTTTGATCAAAACAAAAATATTTCTTTCTTGAACCAAATAAAATAATAGGATAATTTATGATAGAATGTGGTACCGTTTTTGAACGGGTGTCGTAGGGTGCTAACACCTTCCCTACGCTCAGTCGACTCCCGAACCAAAATCTGTTTTTCGTAGACCAAGTTTTTAAAATATGTGACCAATCACACCTCGTAGATGATTGGTGGCGACTCCAAACTCTTATCTCGAAAGAGCCCCTTCTGGGGATGACGTCGGCCGCTTGGCGACAGCTTGGCGATGACGTTGCGATGACGTTGCGACAGCTTGGCGACTCCACTGGGGAGTATTAAGAGAGTCAAGCCATTTATTTTGTCGTTTATTATCCTATTGTAATATGTTT